CCATCCATCCATCCATCCATCCATCCATCCATCCATCCATCCATCCATCCATCCAACCATCCATCCAGTGATTTATTTACTCTTTTGTTTATTCATTCACTAATTCATTCATTCATTCTTCATCAATTCATTCATTCAATCATCCTGTCTTTCTTTCATCCATCCATTCCTTCATCCATCCAGTCCTTCATCCAGTCATCATCAGAATCATCATCATCATCATCATCATCATCATCATCATCATCGCCACAACACTCAAACGTAGTCGATCATCTGGGCGACTGGCTCGGCCCTCCGTTCATGACCTCGACCAGCTTGGCCTTGTGGTCAGTTGTCCACTTGTCCAGGGAGGTGACGCAGTGGGAGATCCGCCTGGTCACTCGCGGGTCACGTGCAGGGGACGCCTGCATGTTCTCAAACAGCGCCGCGATGTCCTGGCATCCTTGGAAGTCGAAGGAGCCGAAATCTGCAGGTGAGATCTGGAGAGGACAACCAAAAAAAAAAGGATGATGGATGTGTGCGACCAATTTTTTATGCAGGAATTTTTTTTACAAGACCTTTAGAGTCATAAGTACATGTGTTTTAATATTCGTAACAGCAATACACATTGATATTTATTCTGACAGGAAAATAAATTTGTTCCCGCATCCGATCCAGACATAGGATTGCTTTGTTAGTGAGACAACTTCTTGGGCCTTTGTCATATGAGAAGCGTGCTAACAAAATTAATTCCTTCTCAGATTCAAGCCTTATAATGGAAACAGATACATCACGCTTGTAGGTGAAGTTTTTACAGTTTATAAGTGTGAAATAATAAAAGGAATGTTATAGTTAAAGAAATTGGCACCAATAGAAAGTTTATAAATTTGATCTTAGTGTCGACTTTTGGCCAATGTGTCCATTGGTGGATTGCGAGAAGTAACTCATCCTGTCAGCACGCCTCACAAATGCAGGAATTTTTTTTACAAGACCTTTAGAGTCATTAGTACATGTGTTATAATATCCGTAACAGCAATACACATTGATATTTATTCTGACAGGAAAGTAAAGTTGTTCCCGCATCCGATCCGGACATTCATGATTGCCTTGTTAGTGAAACAACTTCTTGGGCCTTTGTTATTTAATGCAGGAATTTTTTTACAAGACCTTTAGAGTCATAAGTACACGTATTATAATATTCAAAACAGCAATACACATTGAATCGATGATTGATATTTATTCTGACTGTAAAGTAAAGTAAAGTTTTTCCCGCATCCAATCCCGACATTCAGGATTGCCTTGTTAGTGAGACAACTTCTTGGGCCTTTGGCATATTGTGGAAGGGTGGGTAGTTCCTTTCCACACCGCCTTTACTTCTCCAACTCAAAGTCAGGTACCAATTACTGCTGGGTGGGCAGGAGGTGGTGAGAAAAATGCCCAGCTTAGCTTGTGGTAAATAATTTTCTGATCGTCAAAGTGTTTCTTCATGATGTCCGCCATTAAAAAAATTTTTTTTTTAAACTTTCTTTTTAATTTCCTTATTTCCTCCATGAACATCATACCTTGTGGTATAAGGATTTTGCGGTCGTCAAAGTGTTTCTTAATGATGTTTTTTTTTCATCTAAAATTATCATATTTTTGTTCTGCTTCTGTCTTGATTTCTTCATTTCCTCAAAGGTCATCTTACCTTGTGATAAATGGTTTTGCGGTCCCCAAAGTGTTTGTTCATGATGATTTTTTTTTTTTTTGGGGGGGGGGGGATTAAACCTCTACCTTCACTCTGGCGTCAGTATCGCCTGTGGGTCATAATTTCATGACAATATTATGGAAAAGAAAAGAAGCCAACGTGTAGGAAGTGAAACCCGCGTAAAAACACGCTCCGTGTAAGAACCCGCTTTTCTGTTCCCTGGTGACCGTATTCATTGGCGGATACCGTTGTATCTTTTTTATGTGTATTATAGAAATGGGAAAACATACTTAAAAGTGCGTACAAATGATAAAAATGGGAAAACATACTTAAAAGTGCGTATATGTTATAAAAATGGGAAAACATGCAAGAAGTACATAAATTTTAAAGAAATGGGAAATACTTAAACAGCACTCCCCATTCCGTAGACATTCATTAAGTCATTGTCTCTTTTATCTTCTTCGTTTCTGGTGAAAATGGAGTACTCTGTAGCAACTTCTACTTCTCCTCCTCCTCCTCCTCCTCCTCCTCCTCCTCCTCCTTTTCCTTCGTCGTCTTTTCCATTCCATCGTTTAGCCAGTTTAGATCCCGCTAGGCTCGTTGGTGACTCCACAATCTCGTACTCCGCGTAA